GTGTGTGTGTGTGTGTGTGTGTGTGTGTGTGTGTGTGTGTGTGTGTGTGTGTGTGTGCATTGATATGTGTTGCTTACATTTGTTTGGGCCTATTTGAGGGTTTACTCAGCTGTGAAAGAAGGCCGCCTTGCCACCGGGCAGCCCATAAACAACAATGGCCCATCGGATCCGCACTAACTTGTAAATAGAGTCAAGGCTTCTAATATGTAGCTCAATTGTGTGGGAGACATGTGTAATATAAAGATGTGCCGCAATGTGACCAACAATTACTTATATTTGGTTTGGTTAAAGTTGATTGAGCAGAGCTTGGCTGTTAACTAATGGAAGAGTATATTATTTTGCTAAATGAATGGAAGAGTAAATTAAAAGCGGCCAAGGTATTTGCTGTATTCCTCAAATTTTTATAGTTACCATATTTTACTTGAGCTAAATGTATTGTATGTATGTATTGTATATATGTACATACTATATTTGACTATTTTGGTTTGATTAATAGACAGAATGATTAGCAGATTCTCAAAACTTAAGCTGTCACGAAAATCATTTATATTATAACTTCTCGAAGATAAAAGTTTGCAAAATACATCGCTGAAACTTGCTAAATTTGCCAATTTCTTAAATAATATTTCGTGGCTAATAAATGGTCTAGACAATAATATTCATTTGAATTATTTAGTTTTAATAATATTGATTGTGATATAATTGATTGCACAATTTATCGTGGCTCCAAAGAGGACTTCTCTTTGCCTCTAAACTCAGCTTAAATATATTGCTGCCCCCGTCGTGTAAGTTGGGCAGAGGGTTCCGTATACTGGGGAAGATTGTAAGTTAAAACCGCAATCCTCCTTCAATAGCAATATACTCTGATTGTCATCTCAATGAATGTGTAACTTGAAAATAGAGTAGCTTTGAAATATCTACATCAGCTTAACTGAATGATATTTCACCTAATTAAAAGTTTATCATCCTCATTAAGTCATTTTAGAGTTTAAACTGTTGGCGACATATAAATTAATAATAAAAAGCAGTATACAAAAAAAAAATAGGTCATTTATTTATGATTAGCATTTGTTAAGTTAAGTTGTATATGATAAAAATAAGCTGTCTATCTATGAAAAACTGCAATCTATGATAACTATTTAATTTTTTCAGTTACTGTTCTAGGTATTTATGATTTTACTCATTTCAGCTAAATGTATCTTTCATTCTTGATAAACGACTTTTTCGACTCTTTATGAAAATGTTTGCTCTCAAGACACCTTTATCACTTTGCGCTATGTACAAAAGTAATTCACCCAATAGCTCATTGCGCTAGAAACAGGAAAAAATCACCTGGATGGTGATTTATATGCTTCTTAAATGAAAAATTCCCCAATTTACCAGAGTTTTATGACAGTTGGGCATCCCTCGGGCCATTATGTGTAGACGTTTTAATGGCTGTCCAAACACAATGTCCGCCAAGAATATATCAACCCGAATCTAGAACCTAAGCATAGCACAGCTGTGATTATTCACCGCACAGCAACAACGTGAAGCGCAAGTGAGCCATAAGGTTGATAATTAGCTGACAGACAACATGAGCAAAGCAAATAAAAAAGATTTAAACGAGCCACAAAATGTTTGTAATATTTAAATATGGAATAAAATAAAATGCACGCCGTAACGTGGAAGCAAATGTGAATGCGAGACAAAACAAAATCGAGATAATTTATATATAGCATATATACATATATATTATATTTTATATTATATAGTTATATATATCTATATAAAAGTCGCAAAAGACTTCCGCTTAAAGCAGACAGAGGGGGGAGCGAGAGAAGAATGCTTATTAATTTACATAAATACAAGTTTTCTAAACTATATACATAAAATCCAGTCTACGACTTCGAATCGCTTAGCCAAGTCTGCTAACTCAATTGACCTTGTCGAAGGTCACGATTATAACGTTTCATTATTGGCACTCAGTCGAATGCATTCAATGCACAAATAACGATAAATTTGTGGATCAAAACAAAAGCGAGGAAATATGCGAATACGATGCCATTGACATTGCGCTTTTTGTTGTCTTTGATGTTGTCATTGTTGTTGTTGTTGACCCACTGCCACGCCCTCATTACAGTGTCTCAGTGAACATTGAGTTTTTGATAAAAAATACTCGATAAAAAACGAGTTTGACAGCGTTTTGTGTGGGTACATTGACTATTGAAAGAGGTTGGTAATGGGAGAGAAAATACTTGTAAAAGAAAATATTTGATTTGGGTGTTTTATCTAGCTTTAATGGGATTTTAGTATTGAAGAGATGTTAGTTTTCATTTGATTTATATATTTAAATTTTGCATTGATATTGGTATTTAAATTTTTTTTTTTTTTAATTGAGAAACTAAATGAGAATCAAGCTAAAAACTGTAAATCTTTAAAATTTTGTAGTTTAACATATTTCACAGGGTATGCATGAGTTTTTACATGTCTGACATGTGTAAAATGCTGCTCTCTGACCGCGCTAAGATTTGCCTATGTAATCTTTGCCTCTGCTAAGACGTAATACGCGGCGTATGCGTCACGTGCTGTTGAAGTCTACGTATTGTTGTTCGTCGTCGTTGTTGTTGTTGTTGTTGTTGGTCGTCGTTGTCGTTCCAGCTATCAATGTTGTGGTTGTTGCTGCTGCTGTGATTGTTGCTGTCGTTGTCGCTGTTGCTGTCGTTTTTATTATGGTAGTTCGTAGCTCAACATCGTAATGTAAGATTCAAGTTCATGGTTAGCTTGAGTAGCGCGTTGCTTGGCTGGTTACGTTCGGGCCAGGTTTTATGTTGTTGCGGCTATTGTTTGTTTGTGGCCATAACTGCTGCGGCAGTTGTTGTTGCTGCTGTTGGTTTTGCTGTCTTATTAGCTACTTAACAATTCAATTAGTTGACTCCAAATAATTGCTTGCATTTTTCACATGCCACATTACGAATTTGCAATCGAGACTTTGCCGTTCATTAGTAATGAAATATGCTGCACAGCTTTACAAAACGGGTATATACGATTGTTGTAATGATGAAGTCATAAAATCTGTGTGTGTGTGTGTGGGTAGGTAAGAGAAGATTCGAACTATGACTGCTTTCATTAAACTGAACTAAATCTGCTCTTAAATACTTCAATTTACATAAGTTAACATGCATTTCGGTTGTAATGAATATTAAAAAATATTAAGTACTAAGAGTACCTAAAATTTGAGTTTATGTCAACCAAAAATATAATTCTTTTAAAATAATAAAAGTTGTTTATTAATAGTCTTCTTTATATTTGATTCATTGATTAGATATCTTAAAAATTGTTACGCCAGAGTATTGAGCTATTAGATTGTCTCACTAGATTTTTGTTCTTAAGTTTTCTCCCTCCTCTCTTCTTCTCCCTCTGCATTTGCTGCTGGCTTTTCACATCTTCAGAGCTATCTATCTTCTAGTTAGTTAATCTTGACCTAATCAATTTATACACTTGTTGCAATTATATATAGAGCCTTGGTATTGATCATATAGCCGCAAATTACATTTAATTGCCGCATTACATTTATGAGATTCTCATCATCTATCTCTCTCTCTCTCTCTCTCTCTCTCTCTCTCTCTCTTTCTCTCTCTCTCTCTCTCTCTCTCTACATCTATCTTTTCCTCACCACAGCTGGCTCTCCCATTTTCTATAGTGCAGCACCGCGGGGCAGCTGCAGCAGCTGTTGTGCGATACGCGAACGCGAGGACATCAAGTTTCTGCTCTACACCAGGTGAGTTTTTGGGGTTGGCAGCACTCGCTGGGCTCATGCATATTGAAAGGTCATTTGGGCAACTTGCAGGAAAAACCGCAACGCGGCCCAGCAGCTGCAGCTGAGCGACGATGTGCGACTGGCGCGAAGCAATTTCAATTTCAATTACCCGCTGGCCATCTATCTGCACGGCTTCTCGGAGTCTGCCAGTGGGGAGAAGCAGAGCAGCCAGGAGCTGAAGGATGGTAACTCAATCTCTCCAGGCTCAGTCAGTCCACATGGTGATTCACGCCTTTTTTCACTTTTACTTTGCTCTTTAGCTTTTTTGCGACGTGGCAATTACAATGTGATACTCGTTGACTGGAGCGCCATGGTGGCCGTGCCCTGGTACTCCAGCGCCGTTGAGAATCTGCCCATAGCCGCGCGCTATCTGGCCCGATTCCTGCGCTATCTCGTCAGCAGCGGCTATGCTGTGAAGCATATACATCTGATCGGCTTCAGCTTGGGCGCCGAGGTGGCCGGCTTCGCCGGCAAGCAGCTGCAGGAGTGGGGCATCAAGCTCACCAGAATTACGGCACTGGATCCAGCTCTACCGCTGTTCGAGGGCAACAGCTCCAATCGACGCCTCAGCTCGAGCGATGCACGCTTCGTGGATGTCATACACACGGATGGCGGAATATTGGGCAATCCCACGGCCATGGGGCACGCGGACTTCTATCCGAATGGCGGACGTCCTCTGCAGCCGGGCTGTGCCAAGCAGGAAATCGCCAATAATCGCTGGCTGAACATCATTAGTAAGCTGCCCGAATTTCAGCCTGAATTTCCGAGAAATACTCTGTTTACAAATTGTCCTATTGGGTATATTAGCTGATGGATATGTGGTTGTTGCTTAATTATTTCCTAGCTGAGTGAGAAATATCTGTTTTAAGGGATACGACTTTTAATATGCGTATTGCGATATGTTACTTTACTATTTGTTTGAAGGATAGGAAAAATCTTGAAGATTTTGTACTTAATGATAGTTCTGAGCTCTAATAATCTAAAGTAGGCCTATAGTCTCTTAGTCGAGATAGCTTGACTGTTGAGTTAGACAGACCTGAACTATACACCTAAAATATAGAACTAGACTATAGACCCAATCTATAGACTTAGACCATAGCACTAGACTATAAGATCTGATGTAAAGCTTGAGCTTATTAGAGCAACTTAGTATTGAGTAGTGAATTTATTTTCTTCTTTTATACCCCGAATCATCTAAATTGTATGCAATATGTAAATATGTTTGCAATAGGCAGAAGGCGTGACAGATCCCATAAAGTATTTGTATTCTCGATAAGGACGATTCAGTCGATATAGTATCGCCTTGTCCTTTTGTGGAAAGCATCCGGGATTCTTCTAGTCTAGTCTAGTCTAGCCTAGTCTTGGCTAAAGCACTCTTTAATATTGTAAGCTTTTGAGGCTGAACCATAGCTTAGTTTATGGAGGGTAACATCTATTATTATACCTACCGACTCTTTTCGGATGGTCATTGGACTTGTCATAATTGCAGCAAAGTCATTGAACATTTTCGTGCACAGAGTGCAATTACTTTTCATGACTCTCTTTAGGATTCCATATGCTGTTTCCAAAATGCAAATGAAGCATGTCCATGTGATATTTACATCATTTTGGCTATCTACTCGATAGAAATTGAGTTACAACTTCTTCATTCGAGTCAGCTGTCAAATACTACTTTGTAAACAGAGTATCTATCAGTTGGGTATCCCCACAATGCTTAAATGCTTCATTTCGTTGCAGTTGGCTGCAGCCATCAACGCGCCTGGGAGTACTTTGTGGAGAGCATCCGCCAGCCGTTGGCCTTCCCCGTCGAGCGCTGCGAGCCCTCGCAGCACTTTGGCAGCTGTCGAGATGGCAACGGACGTGCCTACATGGGCTATGGTGCCGATCCAAGGTGAGCAATCGATATAAATTATGGTGCAGGCAGCGCAGCACACAGCTAACCATATCGTCTTTGACAGACTGCGCGGCAATTTCTATTTGGAGACGAACGATGCCAAGCCATTCGGGCGGCTGAGTCAGCCGTCGTCGTCTATGCCTCAGCTGCCCATCACCTACAAAATGCCAAATGCCTCAAGGGAGTCTGCACAACTGCAGCAACAGCAGCAACAACAGCAGCAACAACAACGACGACAGCAACAGCAACAGGAACTGGAGCAGCAGCTGGAGGACGATAACAATATGCTGAGCAACAACATCGCATTGACGTGACAAAATGTTGAATGTGCCCCCAGTCTCCATTAACATGAGATTTGTGTGAGGGCGCGTGATTTGCTCGCTCGGGCGAAACAGTTGAAGGTTTCTTCCTGCTTCCACGTCCGCTTCTCTTTAGTTTATCTAAGTAGATGTAAGATGTCTTGTGATCTGTCTGATAAGTATTGTTAGCACGTAAGCTATTGTTATTTCTACTTTGCAAAGAAAATACGCAGCAATTGAATGACATTTGATATGAGCTTTTTATATTATCGCCGTCCTCGGCGATTCTCGGTGATTGCACTTTCGCAGTCAAGCAAACTTAACATTTATTTTGGTCCAAACAGAGCTGATATAAATGGAATTATATGAAATGATGAGGATAATGGAGGAAAAATAAAAAATGTATGCGACAAATAAAAAAAAAAAGTACATATATTTCTATATCTCTCTTCCGCTCTCTCTCTCTTATTTGCTGTAAGTATATATTGCTAATCAGCACAAGGAGTCGAGTCATTTTAGCCCTGATCGTTCGTCTATATGTATATCGGTATGTGTGTCTGTCCGTCTGTGTGGAGCGTCGATTGTTGGAAACTAAAAATATCGACGAAAGTAACAATTATGTTTTTCCTGTAAGTATTTCTTCAAAGTATCTGAACGATCACACACTTCCTGACTTTACTACACCATACGACTGACCCCCACGCGGCATGGACTACTGCAGAAATGCTACAGCTGCTGCCCCTTATATAGGGGGACCTTCACTCAAAGACTAAGTGGCGCTCAAGTGTTGATCGAATATAAATACTAAATAAATGCTGCTGCATGCATGTAGACAACAAATTTAATCTTCTGCTCCTCTTCCGCCCTTGCTTCTGTTACAGGGACACACAGAGAGATAGACAGAGAGACAGACAAAGAGACAGGCGGAGAGACAGATTATGATATGTTTATACGTGCGTACGTGAAATAGTAATCCTTCTCAGAGTTCCAGATATTCGAGTCTTAATTAGAGCATGCTTACTTGTTCTGATATATCATAGTGTATATGATAAATATATTTAAACTAAAAATGAAATTTAAAAAAGTGAATACATATATTCTACATATAGTCTCTCTGCCTGCCTCCCTCCTCTCTTTCTGTATCACATCTTTATATTTGTATATTTTTCTACATTACTATACATGATATATGGAAGTATGTACGCCATTAGGATGAATGTTATTTTGAGCATGCTTCGCCTAAGCCCGTGAGAACGTGAGAGTTTACTTGAGCTTGATTTATATACTTTGACGTATATATGTACATGTATTTTATTATCGATTTTGAAGATTATTTACATCTTTCATCAGCAGTTTTACAGCCTTGGCAGCCGTAAAATATAAATTCGATGAGGCGTTTGGCCCAGGCGCTCAACTGGAGCTCTTGCGTGAGGGCCTGACCCAGTAAAATTCTGAACAAACGTAAATTCACAAATCATTGAGCATCGTAACGCTTAAATGGAGAGCATGTTATTTACCTAAGCAAGGATTGCAAATGCTGCAAGTGCAGCAGCCAACTGCTTTTCACTTGCTCCTTGGAACTTGCCACAGCTGCCGCTGGCTAAGTGGCACTGCAGTAAAGCTGTCACGTGCTGGCTGCGTCGTTCGATGTTTGCAAATCTGCCAAGGCGGCATTTGCAAGGCAAAAAGTTCTCATTAATAATGCAGCGCGCACAACACACACACTCACACACACACATACACACCTGAGTTGCCACAACTTCCGCTCGTTAAGCGTTCGCCTATGAAATGAGTTGAAAATCGGTCGCCGCCGCAGCTCATTGCACATTATGGCGCACATCCTGCCGGCTGCTAGACTTTTTATGGCTTTTTTTTTTTTACCATATTTGTAGGCTGCATTTTAAAGCGATCTCTGGCTGGCTAATAAGCAATTTACAGCCATTATAGCGCGACCTCAGCTCGGCTACAATATATACATATATTATTAATTACTTTTTAATTACTCTAATAACTTGGCTTCGAGTGTTTCTGCTGCCACCCATTTCTGCAACTAAATACAAAACTTTCTGTTGTTGTTGTTTTGTTTATTGCTTTTGCGATTTTTGTTGGTGCTAAAACAAATATTTTTGTTGACTGCCCTTGAGGGCGTATACTTAATATATTTTGAACTTTTTTCTTTTTACTATTTCTTCCCTCTCATTTCGGTCTGCCTGCCGGCCCAATTTCTGAGGCTTCCCGTTACGTCATTGACATTGCCCAAAGCACTTTGCATGTCGAAATTCGTTTTTGTCGATACCCTAAGTGAGAACATGTTCACATAGCTAGGGAGTGAATCACTTAAGTGGGTAATTCCGTAAATCGGTTGAAGTAACAGAGACTTTGTTAGATGTTAGGTATATGGTTACATATATGACAGATTAAGGCAATAATAAGAGCTTTGGGTGAACAAATAATATCAAAATTATAATATCAGTAAAATATTAAAAATATGTATAATGGATGACAATACTAACAACAATAATTAACAATATAAATACAAAATAATGCCTTTAAGCAGGATTTCAATATTAGTAAAATTCAGTTTATATTGATATTTGTTATGATGAAATCAATAACTTGAGAAAAGTGAATATTATCATATTGTTAGTGACATTTAAATTGGAAATGATAACAATTATTATATTGTATTATGTTTTATACATGATTGATAATATTAATATGAAGATTCATAGTGATAATTATATACAAAAAATAATACTTACACTTCTCATGAAACTCATAGTAAAGTTGACGTTTGTAATTTAAAAAATTAAATCACTTATATTAAAATTAAAATATTATTAAAAATATAAATAAATGGGAATAATACAAATACGAACATAGATAAAAAGGTATCTCAGTTTCGACTTTCTCTCGCTAAGTAAACCCACTAGTTTTTTAGCTGTTATTTTTTCCGGACATTTGGAGCAACTAAATTAAATTACTTGGGTTTGCGTTTTGTCATGAGTCACGCCTAATACTAAGACTTCAACCTGCTGTCTGTGACGAGGGTCATGCGAATAACGGAGAATAGCGCAGCCTGGCATAAATGAAAGTGAAACGCATAAAAAAATCACCAGGAGCGCTTGTCCGCCTTAAGGTGGGTGATAAAAAATGCATTAGAGCGAGAGCAGAGATTGTGGAGCCTCAATATAGGCAGGGAAATCAAATTAGTTTACCTAAGTCACAACAAGTTTCAATGTTTTCGTATTTGTCAATGCCCCGGGGAATCGTTCCAGGGGCCTTGACTGTACTGTTTGTACAACTCGTATAGTGACTAACATACAGTTAGCATATCAATTATACGTTGCCGGCCAGTCGGGGCCGGTGTGTGGGGCCAATTAAATGTGAGTTGTGCTTATGATGAACGCTTTAGGGGTTGCTCAGCTCGATATGGCCGCCTGGCATGCCATGACCATGTCGCACACATGACAATGGGCCTGTGAATAAGGTGCAGACACGTGCAAAACGAGCCGCATACTGGCCTGATAAACGAGTCGGCCCACGCAGGACACACACACACTCGGGACAGGACGCGGCGCTGACTCATGGGCGTTGTCTAATGAGCTGTTGGCTGGAAACGGGCCTGCCACTGTAGAGCTCCATCTGGCTGGCAGGCGACTGACTGATTGATTGATTGATGGCTGCTCAAATTGATTGTTGTCGTATTTGGCCTATATCCATGCCATATTTATAGCTAAACTCATATGTAATTTAATACATTTCGTATATGTTTTCATATTTGGAGTGTGCCAGACAGCTTGACACCTCGAAGTAGGCTACTCAGCGTAACACGAACTTGCATGTACTCAATCAGTCAATCGTTGTCAGTCAGCCAGTCAGCCAGTCAGACAGTCCACCCGTCCGCCAGTCACTCAGTTAGCTTGACTACACCTGCTTCTTTTTGCATTGCACTTTAAATTTGAAGGTACTCAAATCCAATAAGGGCACCCGAAAAAATTAATTAAATCGATAAGGTTTTCGCTTTGTGCTTTCATCGTCGCTTTTATGTTCGCTGTGCATGCTAGGGCAGAGGCGGAGCTAAGTCAGCCTCTGTGCTTGCTATACCCTGTACGAAAGCAGTGATAAGGTGTGTTCATCTGGGGGTGGGTGCTCTGATCTAGATTATTATTGGAAAGCCATAAAAACATCCTTGGCTCCAGCTGATATAGATTGGAGTGAAAATAATTCCGTAATATATTTTCTTATGTTTGAGATTCGAGTAAATATGTGTTTTGCCCTAACCAGTGGTGGAAATCTATTTATATAAATCAAATTGAAAGCAAAGGTAGTTATATTTAGTTATTTAGTGATATATAATATATAAGGAAAATTATAATGAACTGTTAGTAACATTATGTTAATGTGAGGTATTTTATGATTTGCTGTAGATGTTGTGTATTTACGTAGGTTGACAGAACTGATTATATTTTTGTTGCTTAGTTTATTGAACCAGTTGTCAGCTCACTAAATTTAGTTTATAAATACTCCGTCCCAGAACTACAGGTAAAATCTGAAATTAGCATATGATTGCTTTGTGTGATAATATTTAAACTGTTGTTAATTACAGACAAAAATTATTATGAGTTAAAATTACACTGTTAACAGCGCAACACTTACTTTAATGGAATAATAATATTTACAGACCAGCTTCTCTTCTAATAGCCTGTATTTGACCCCAACATTGATAACTGGGTATTGCATAGTTTTTCATAGCGCTCTGTTAGCTGCTGTTATTGTCTAGGTTTCTATGAGACACAGAAGATAGAGAGAGAGCTAGAGTGAGAGAGAGAGGCCTATAGTGGGACAACAGAGTGAGCAAGACAATAAACATTCCTATTAAGTTATACAACAGGGCGACTCTACTATCCACACACAGTGTTGGTGGCTGTGTGGGAGTCTGTTTATTTGTTGCATTCCTGCCAGCGCAACAATGTCATGAAAATTGCATTAATATCAGCGACGTTTACGTGCCAGCGAGTGGCAGAGAGACATAGAGGGATAGAGAGAGTGAGAGAGGAGAGACACAGGGAGGGAGACAGGGAGTAAATGTGTGTTTATTCATGTTGCCGCTAAGTGAATTTATTGCATTTAATATGGTTTTCATGTCAGCTGGAACATGGCTCAATATTTTATACATTTTTACAGTGAGCAGCCTCGGCAAACAAGCTCATTAAAGCGAACAAGATGTTTAAAGAGAGCGAGGC